CACTTGTTGATATCTCCAAAAGGTGGTGAGAGTATCGAAGACAGACGTGCCATCAACACACAGTTTACATGGACGTTCGAGGCAGATGTTACTAAGCCGGAAGAACTGGAATGGTTCATTGTGACCGCCACGCCATTTGTCGAGAAACCCGCTGTTCTCACAACGAACGCTGCGCAAGAAGAGGAGGAAGAGAAGGAGGAATGATACAGACCGCACGTGTAAATGATAAGCGATCAAAACAATAGATTCACGGTTTGGTCACGTTCAATGGCGCTGTTTGCCTGCACAGTAACTTATATGTAGCTATCAACGGTAGTCATGTTGATATGCACACAATTCCAAAGATCAGCTACCAGTACAGTAGCCTAGGCATAGTGGTGGGCGAGCTACAATGCCCTGGACAAGTAGCATGCTAATTGTGACTAACAAGACATTCAAGTAGTACCTTGTTTGTTTACTCCTAAGCAAACTTAATTTTTGTATGCCTCTCAGTACCACATAGATAAGATAGGGCGCTTGCATACCTCAGCTTTCGAGTGGCGACTACTGGGTGCACAAGCGCACGCAGTCCCATGGCCACCGCAGCGCCCCCAGCAGCCCCCTACGACGATGGGAGCTCTACTGAGAGCGAGTACTACTTCGATCCTAGAGAAGAGGCCGAGGAGGCGGCGGCGTATGCGTGGACACATGAGCATGATGCGCCAAAGATGCAGGAGCCAATAAATCACGGTAATGAGGACAATACTGTGATAAAACAAGAGTACCGTGAGTATGGGCAGTTGCAACAAGATGTAGAGAAGATAACATTGCCACAAGGCAGCGAGTGGAGCCACGGAGCGGCGTCGACTACGGTGTACGACAATGCCGTACAGCAAGCACTAGCAATGGCACAGAATCTGACGGAAGCTCAGCGAGAAGAACCGTTGACGGATGATACAATGAACAGCAATGCGTCACCTAGGGATCACAAGGAGGAAATTCAAGAAAAACAGGAGAAAGTTGTGGTAGTATGGAAAAAGAAAGAGGTGAAGGCCAAGCCTAAGCTCGTCTCGCTAAAGAAAGTGAAGACTCCAGCGTCTCCAGCTTCAATGACGAAGGCGGTGGCTGTGGGACTAAGACGCTCACCTAGTAAAGTGGAAGGAGTGTCGAGTGAGGTACAAAAGGAGCTGTCAGTGTCGCGACCTAAATGGAAATCTACAGAGAGTCAAACATCGAGTCACAAGGCAAGTCCGAGACATAACAAGGTGGCACAATCAAAGGTAAATGACGAGAAGAAAGCAATTCGAAAAGAAGGAACCAACAAGTCACCGTCGGTGCGTAAATTCGAGCACGATAAGGTCTCTTCTAGTCGTCGAACGGAGCACAGCAAGTCACAAACTAATCGAAAAAGAAGCCGTAGCAGATCACCATCAATTTGTCGGAGAAAGCGAAGCCGGTCGCCATCGGTACGTCGAAAGAATCATAGTAGATCGCCAAGTCGCCGAACAGTACATGGCAATCACGAACGAAGTTTTTCATCAAGACGTTATTCTCGGAGAAGTCCAAGCAGATCGCCTTCAAGTCGTCGGTTTACTGAGAGACGACGGAGATCCAGATCGAGATCACCACGTTCCACAGGAAGGAGATCGATTCAAAGCCACAAACAACCTCGTAGCCCTTCACCAGTTCGATATCATTCGAACCGCAGAAGCAGAAGTCGTAGCTGGGATCGCCATGAACGCCATAACAAGAGACCACGTAACGACAGTAGGAGCTATGACAAGAGAAAAATGGAGGACCCACGCTGTCCAAGCCATCGTGAGTATCGAGAAGTTCAACTGAGTCGAGATACAATTCAGCGCCAGGACAGAAATAACCATTCCGCCAGATTACCCAAAGACATGAACGGCAAAGGTGAAAGAAGCAGCGGTATGGTTGTTCAGGTTAATACCAACCGGACCGCTGCCAGGCCACGGCTTCAAGAAGTGGAGCCGATTCGATCGAGTCGGCCAGTGGTTCATAATGGTGCATGCATTTCTGCCATGTCGAAGACAGTTGAGACTTTGAAAAGAAACCCGAAAGTCCCGCGTATCACACCTGGAATTGGTATGGTTGCTGCAAATCCAGGCAAAGTCAAAGCGCCCATACACGGCCACATTGAACATCATGACCCATTTGAACGCAGAGTTTTCAAGTTAAAGCTACAAGAAGCAGATATGGACGAGAAATTGTCGGGGAAACCTTTAACTGAAGCTGAGAGAGCTTTGTACGAGCGGAGGTTAAACAAAATTGGGCTGGAGCGAGCACGACTGGAGAACCAGGACTTGGAACGATTTGAAAAGTTGTATGCAACGACGAAAGTGACAGACGTGGCTTTGAAGCGATATCAGGACAACCGGGACTTTGCGTGGCGAGTAATGTGCTTCAAGCAGAGGCAGTCATCACTACAGCAACAAAAAGAGTTGTTTGTGTCCGAGGAAGTGCAAAGGGAGAAGTGGCGTCAACTGGACGAAGACCGAGAGAAACTCATGGCTGAAAATGCCTACATGTTCCACACGGTCATGATGAACGATGAAGAAGAGTTTCAACACAAAGAGAACGCACGACACTCGGGAAAATGTGCTATTGGAAATGGCAATCAAAGAGAGTTTAAACATCGTGCATCCGAGGTCATCCGGCCGAATTATTCTGATTCTACACGCACTTCGCGTGTTGTTGTTGGCGCTGCTCTGCAACTCCAAGGCGGCAGAGTTCGAAGCAACACGTTTGATCCACTTCGTGCTCGCCCCAAGAACACGCCATGGTTTCTAAAAGGTTAATTAACTACTGTTAATGTTACTTCTATGTGGTTATTGTCAAAGAACGTCGACAGACACAAAAATGTTAAGAAAAAAACAATTCTATTTGGATTCAAGTGCAACTAGAGTATTACTGTTCACGCTTGATTTGGTCATCGACAGACTAGTACCAAGGGTTTCATACTAGCAAGCAGAACATATCACGGCTTGCAGATAACTAAGAGATCCCTAATTTTTGGCTACCTTCACCAGCACATCCAGTTCTTCAATAATCGACCGCACAATGATCTCACCCGATTTCTCCTGTGCGTAGCCAGGAGATTGTCCCGACCACAGCGACGAGAACGACGTATCTCCATTAGCCTCCGCGGCCTTCTTGAGAGCGGCAAGTGGAGCTCCAGCGGTCGGGAATTCCGGTGCTATAGCACACATCGGCCCAAACTCTCGCATCACGCGCGTCACGAATCCCCTAGCAGGTCGACCAGAGAAAATATTCGTGAGAGCTGTCTCCACAGCTTCCTCGCCAGTAGCATTAGCAGCTCGCTTCAACACTTTACGATGCAAAGCTGACGTCTTCGCTTCATCTGCGAGTAGAAATACTGTCCCCATCTGCACCGCAGCAGCTCCCAGTGCACTAGCAGCCAAGATGCCACGAGCATCGCCGATTCCACCTGCTGCGATGACTGGAACCTTCACTGCGTCCACTATTTGAGGGACCAAGGACATCGTTCCTGTCTGTCGAGGGAAGTCCATAGAGCTGTTCCGATACTCCAGCGTGTCAGCCACTGGTTCACCATCTTTTCTTGGCAAGAAGACCCCACGATGCCCACCTGCTTCGAGCCCCTGAGCGATGACAGCGTCACAGCCTCGTTCCTCTAGCCACAATGCCTCGCGTACAGTAGTGGCCGATGAGATGACGAATGCACCGGTGTCCTTGACACCCTGAAGCATGATGGGAGATGGCAGTCCGAAGTGGAAGCTGACGACTTCCGGCTTGAGCTCTCGAACCAGGTCAAGACTCACCTCATCAAAAGGCATGCGTACTGCTCCTTCGGCCGTTAGTTGCGTCAGATCCACCCCGTATTCTCGGTAGTATGGTGCAAGGACGTCCTGCCACTGCTTGTCAGCCTTCGGGTTGGCCAGAGGTAGCGTATGGCAAAAGAAATTGAGGTTGATCGGAGCTGATAGGTCCTTTGTGGCAGCTCGGAAAAGCTGCACATGCTCGCGGACAGCACCGGGGGATAGCAGCGCACAAGGAATCGCACCTAGACCTCCTCCACGGGCTACAGCAATGGCGAGATCGCTAGCTTGCGCGCCAGCCATGGGGGATTGGAAAAGAGGCACACGCAGCCCCAGTCGCTGGATGATTCGAACGTCACGCCACGCCATGACTTCAGTGAGACTTGGTCAGATCGGATGTGAGACCCTGTTGGTGTCCTCCGAATCAGCTCGCAGTGATTGATGAGTGACCAAGAGGAACTTCCTGCGCAACATTATAACATCTTGATCATGTGGCCGTAAATTTTGTCGACAGGGCTTTCAATTTGTCTAATACAGTGTTTTGTACTGTACTTATAAATTCGCATTTGGCGAATTTTGGGTGTCAACGATACCCATAAATTAAATGGAAATAGCTGAGTCGTTTGCCCATTAGACTTCAACAAAAAGACTCCGCAATACTTATAATGGAAAATATATTGTGCCTTTCAGTCTTTTTTGGCAAAATCGACTTGTTGAACTGAGATTAAAGACATGGTGGGTTAGGTCAGCAGATCCAGCTTTGTGATGGCAGTGCTAATAATAAAACTCAGATTAGAGGCAAGATAGCTCAGAACACAAACCCGTAGAAGACGAAAAAGCCCGAATGGCAGCGAAATCACCGCCATTCGGAGTTTTCGCACGAACAATGACATACTCGCAAGACTTAAGGTGGAGATCAGTGATTCTTTTGTACGCGTATAACGTTCATCTTGACATGGTCTCAGTCGTGTTGGGTGTCGCACAGCGTACACTGAGCAGATGGCTACAGTATTTTCAGAGATCTGGGAACGTGGATACGAAGATTCGCGAAAAGCAGCGCTCATCTCGATGGCCACGAGAAGTGCTTATATTTATTGATGACTACGCCAAAGTTCACCCTTGTTTCTACTTTGAAGAAATTAAGTCTGCAATTAAAGAGCGATTCCCCGACCTCGGCAATATTTAAGACTGGACCGTGTGTCGAGCGCTTCGGTTTGACTTGGATTTGTCTCGAAAGAAACTGACCAAGCGCGCACGTGAAAGTTGTTTCGTCGGAGCGAAACCAATACCTTGAACGACTCGGTCCATTCTATTCGTGCCCAGATCAGCT